TTTCAAAAGTTTCCCTATGCAGGAAACTTTTGAAAAAACACAAGCTACAAACAGTATTCAAGCCCACCACAAAAATACAACAAATGTTACGGTCAACAATGTTACGGTCTGTGACCCCTTTGATGTATGGCAGAAATACTTTATTTGTGGGTGGCTGTTTTTCTTCTTCGGTTTGGTGTTGTTTTCTTGGTTTGATGGCTCTTGTGATTTCATTTTTGGAGTAGCCATTTGCCTGTAGGGCCCAACAAAACTTGGATCCCAGCACTGAAAAATACAGCGTGCAAAATGTCAACAAACTCTACTCAGCCACAAAGATTGGGAATCACTATACAAAAAAGACCAGCTAATGACACCCATCAATCATAGCGACAGATAATCTCTCCTCCTTATCACAACAATACACCCACAACATAAACACACTGATCTACCATAATCACCCATCTCCTGAAAAGGACAAAAGCTGATCTCACTCCCAAGCCAACTACACCAGAGCACAGAGTGCTGTCCTCTGAAGATGCCGGCCACAGAGACTGGCAAAACGTTAGGAAGAACAACCTTCAGAACACGGCCAAAGAGCCCGAAAAACCCACAACAACCATTAGATCCCGGCCCTGAAAGCCTTTGTGAATATATGTGGAGTTTTTGTGTTATATCATTTGAACTGAATACTAATGAAATTAAGACAGATTCCTAAATTGAAAAAGGAAGAAGAAGAAGTAGAAGAAGAGGAAGCAGCGGCAGCGAGCTGAATCTTTTATACTATGGATAAATCTGATGGTTACACCCAACACATCTGGCTTGAAGTAAGTAGCCCATCTTCTGATAGAATGGAATCTTGTACATAAACATAGCTTGACACTTTAAGTTACAAATGCTCTACAGTTCTGATATATTTGTCATGTAAAACAAATAATGGGCTTCCTGTGTTCAGTTCCTGTGTTTGGCTTCTGCCTGGGATATTAACAAGAGCTGTATTTCATTTCTTCAAATTCTGTTAGGCCAAAGGTGGTTCTCCTTGGAGAGAGCCTCATCAAAAGGAAGCCACACTCCACAGTTCAGAATGGAGCTTTGTACGTCCAAAGGTTTTCTCAATCATATTCTATAACTCTGTTATATGAGACATAGTTTGTTCTTTCCATGATGCCCGTTCTGGGAAAGGAGTGGGATTCTTGTGAACCCGCTCAGGGATGTATATACGTTCTGAACTCTCTCAGGGATGTCTAGCTTTTGTGACATTACGCCAAGAGATGGATGGCACCAGATGTTCTCTATATTTTTGTTGCTCTCTGAGTGCTTTTGTTCTGGACAAATGGTGTCTCAAACTCCCACAACTGGAGGGCATATAAGCCATACATTGATTTAAAACCTTTATTGAAGAAAGAGATCGTTCCTCCAGATTTACTCAGGATTAGCCGAGTCATTGGAAGGTAAAATCTGGCAGCATTCCAGAGATACAATCCCAGCAGATCTTTGTGTCAAAAGAAGGATATTTGCACATTAAACCTGTCCTTACCACCTGATTACCAATATTAAAACAATGCAAGCTTATGTAGAAACTACAACATATATGAATTGTTCTTTCTGTAACCATCAGATGTTCTCATTCCCCACTTTTACAAAGGTGCCGTTTGAATATATCATTTGGCCCTCAGTGAAAGACTAATCTCCTGAAGCCTGGATTGTAAGAAACAATCCTTTGCTCCTTTTTCCTTTTGCCCAAGTGAAATCCAGAACCACTAGGAAGCTCAGCTGGCCATGTTGACTTATGATTTTTTTTTTCATTTCTCCTGTCATCCCACATTCTGTAACATACAGCCTGGTGAAAAGTTCTGAGGGGCTCAGAAGCTCACTTTTTCATGTCATTTCTGTCACCCATTTGTGATATTACACAACCGTGCCTATGGAGGAGACAAAAGCAGAGAGGTGAGTGATTTAGATTAACACCAGGAAGTGACCACTGGTAACGGCATGGCTAAAAAAATCTTATAAATAGATAGATAGATAGATAGATAGATAGATAGATAGATAGATAGATAGATAGATAGATAGATAGATAGATAGATAGATAGATAGATAGATAGATAGATAGATAGATAGATAGATAGATAGATTAACCC